GAGGCCGAAGAAGACATGAAGTCTAGATATCCTCACTTATTTCCTCTTCTAGATAAGGGTTCAACTGAGACATCACAACCTTAAGGTACGTGTATGGATTCTTGTGTTAGTTATTGTCATTGGTCGTGTGAGGCCATTGTCGTTATTGATGATTGTGGTCCTATGTGGCATTGAATTATTGAGTTCTGCAGGAAGAGTTGGTAGTAGTATTGTTACAAAGGCGACTCTGCCAAAGTTTATATAGATCCCGGGGAGTTAAAACATTCGAAGACGAATATTTCTAAGGGGGGAAGGATATTACATAACATGTTTTCGTATGTTAAAGTTCCATCTTCAGTTAATCGATGTAGACTCGGGGATGAGATTATCTTGAGGTTATATGCATTTATGTTATATATAACAAGTGATAATTAAGTGCCGTGAAGGATAAAGGGTAAACAAATCAAAGAAAAATGAGTTTCGTTAAAGGTTGTCGATTTGGGATAAAATACGGTCCGAGCTACAATACCTGGCATTTATGGACTAATGCCATACAAGGTACCCCACGACCACGATAGTAGGGTATGTAAAGTATATTAAAAGTGAGTAGTAGTTTAAGTAAGTTGAGATAATTCTTAATTATGTGGATAATTAGTTAGTTATTGAGTAATGGGATATTACCTAGATAATTAAGGAATTATTGGATAATGATTAACCCCCCCCCCCCCCCCCACCCCCAACTAAGGAATTATGTGGCAGCATCCCAATCCCATTTAAATGACTCATTAAGTCTTGCATAGATGACATATTTGGAGGGATTTGGATGTCTTAGTCATCCACCAAGTGGGCCACACGCAAAACTTTCTGTAATTAGTTAGACTATCAAGTTACTTCACGTTTTTGGCAATGTAAATTCATGTGTCTTACAAACCAAATTGAATCTCTTATAGAGAGTGGCTGATCGTGAGTTCATTAAAGAGCAAAACAAATCCGTACCCAAAATTGATAACGTTGGTTGATTGATTTTGTAGAGCGTGAATCGCAAATTCTAAGAGAATCGGTTCAGGTATGTTAAGGCTATCCCTTCTTTCTTTTTGGCATGATCAATACGATACAAACAAATGCACAACTTCCATAAATGACTATATTCATAGGAGTATTAGAGGTGCCTATGTTCTTGAATTCCCATGTATCTTATTATTACATCCTCTGTTCATGGGTCTCAGAAAAATACGTAGTTGATAAAGTTTATCCGAAAGGTAAATTGATCTTATTAACATATTTTTATGCATTTCACTCATTTATACATGTACATTGACCCATGTATATATATATATATATATATATATATATATATATATATATATATATATATATATATGTATATGGGAAAAGGTTACAGCGTTATATATGCACTACCACCTGATCAACTGGTATATGTTGATGATTTTGCCCACAGTGGCCGAGATGATATGATTGGATGCCCTCAGAGGCTCGATGATATTATGTATACCTATACCTATGCATGACACGATATTTATACACACATGCATGACTTTATAAATATTTCAGGAATTACAAAGTGATTTAGACTTACACTCGGAATTCTTTATTCCGTGCTTCATCTATCTGTTATGTACTGATTTTTATGCCTTACATACTCAGTACATTATTTGTACAAACGCCCTATTTCCCGGGGCCTGCGTTTCATGCCCGCGGGTGCAGGTAGATAAGTTGTCGGTCCCCCTTCTTAGGATCCTTGATCAGGGAGAGTTGGTGTGCTCTATTTGATCCGGAGCTGCTTTTGATTTTGGTACGATATGCTTGTATACATATATGGGTATGACGTGGCCCAGTCCCATCCTTATACAGTTGTATATTCTAATAGAGGTCTGTAGACAGTATGTATAGTTGGATAATATGTGGCCTTGCCGGCTTCCAGTTTTGGGTATATAGTTGTCTATAGCAGCCTTGTCGGTTCGTCGTACGTATTCTGCACATATATGTACATATGTCTTTTGGACGGATTTCCCTCATGTATGTTATTCTCGTATTTCAGCAGATGTTATTCATGTTTATATCTTATACACATGCTCAGGGGTGTTCGACAGGTAGGACTCGGGCACCCGTCGCGGCCCATCAGTATGGGTCGTGACAGGACGGCCAAGAGCCAATCACTACTGTACCTGAAAGCGACACGGATTCATCATCTAGAGTTCCATCATCAACGAGAGTGGTGGAAGGTGCAGCTTTTCCTGAAGTTGAGGGTGAAGTTGGAGGGCCGTCTGTGGAAGTCGGCGGCAACGTACTGAGAAGTAGTCGTCATCCTCGGCACCGGTTGATGTTCCCTCGTCGGCCGAGGTGTAAGGCAAGGGCATTGCCGAGGATGTCTACGAAACCGACTTTGATATTGACCCCAAAGAGGTGCGGATTTTGAGTGAGGGGTTTACCCGGGTGGAAGTGAGGGTTGAAGGGTCCACTCGTACCATCGTGATCCCCCATGGATCGCGACCTGCTGGTGAATGCCGAGGAAGTGGTCCCTTCCTTGGGCCCCCTTTGCTCCGATGTGGAGGATAAGACCCTCGAGAAGCTGAGTGATGCCGCCTTGTCATCGGCATAGCTGGCCTCGCCCTTAGAGTAAGCCTTTCGCCCTTTCTAGTTTTTATGCCTTACACGTTGTTTTTCGATAGACTGGTTCTCTTTCTCCTTTCTTTTGTGTTTTTTTTAGACCATCATATTGGAGATTGAGAGTGCTCGCCAGGAGGAAAGGCGTAAAACTATTTTCAAAAGGATGGAGAAGAAGTACCGTGAATATCGTGGCAAGCATTGTGAAATCTGTAGACGGTTCGGCGAGAGTGGCAACTTCCAAGCTATCCGTGACGAACTGAAGCAGAAAGATAAAGAGCTAGTGAGAGTCATCACTAAGTGCAGCATCCTCAAAAGGGCGTTGAGGGATAAGGAAGAAGATCTCAAAGTAAGCAAGGGAGTCCAGGCCGAATATGCGGATCTTTAGACCTAAGTGGTATCTTTGCAAGCCGAACTCAAGCAATGTTCGATCAGGGCTGATGCTTTGAGTGGCGAGGTCTCCGAGAAGACGACGGACTTGGAGAAGGCCGAGCTGGCTTAGTTGGCGGCTTTGGCAAAAATAGAGACTTTGGAGGACGCAATCTGCATCCTCCGGTCCGAGCGGGCAAACGATTTTGAGACGGATAGGCTCAGGGAAGCGCAGCTTGATGAGAAAATTGGGGGACTAGAAAAAGAGGTCTCGAACCTTGGTGATCAAGTCGTCGCTCTCGAGGCCGAGAAGATACAGTTGTTGGCTCAACCATCCTCCTTCACCTTCTGCTTATCCTGATGTTCCGCGGGATTTGTATGAGAAGTTGATCCACACCAAGGCCCAGCTAGACATATTCAAGGATTTGATGACGGCGGGGAGAGTTCTTGTGGCTGATTTTGAGGATGCTCGTGCTAAGGCGCGTGCAGCTCGGGTCGCTTGTGGTTATAACCTTGCTACACCGGGGACTGGCGATGGAGAGGAGGATTTGGATAGGATTGAGCAGGGTTCCTGGTACGAGGACGAGTATTCTGATGGCAATGACGATAGAGATGGTGGAGATGGCGCTGCTTAGTAGTTATTCCCTTGTAATTTTTTTTGCATACTTTTGCGGCGTCTATTTAGCCCTTGTAAAGAATATTTTTGGAGTATGAAATGCTATTTTCGCTGTTTGTTTTTGAATCTTTTCTCTGTTTGGTCTTGTATGCTTCTTTCCTTAATTCTGTCGTTTGGCCGCTTTTAGTTGTAGAAGCTCGATTCGCACGTTGAACGAGTTTGAATGCCAAACTAGGTAGTCGTGACCTGGGCCAATAATTTTTGTTGAACGAATTCAAACATAGCCGGAGCTTAATTTGGAACATAACTTAGTTGATATAGGCAAGATCGAACGTAACCTAGACCTAACAATGACCGAGGGCCGTATAAGCTTAACTATAAGGTGCAGTTGACCTAAACGAGATTGAATGTGGATTCGAGCGAGCTCGAATGTCTTTTAATTCAAGCTAGGTCGAATGTCTTTTAATTTGAGCGAGGTCGAGTGTCTTTTAATTCAAGCAAGGTCGAGTGTATTTTAATTCGAGCGAGGTCGAAAGTCTTTTAATTCGAGCAAGGTCGAATATTTTTTAATTCAAACGAGGTCGAATGTCTTTTAGTTTGAATTAGGTCGAATGTCTTCTAATTTGAACGAGGTCAAATGTTTTGTATTCAATTACGATCGTGGGCCGGGTTGATGTAGAGATGATGTTTTGGCGAACGTACATTTATGTTTTGCTCATACTTGGAGAAACTTACATGTTTTTCGGGCTAGCATTCCAGTCCCGATCTATCTTGTCCCTTCATTGGGCGACCTAGAGATATATGGAGAGGTCGAGAAATGAACTGTTGTCCGTATTTCAACTTGAAGTTTCCCCCTTATCGCCTCGTTAAAAATCTTCTTGAGAAAACCCAATTGGGACAAAACTCAAGTGAGGAAAAAAGAGTAGGATTTGGAGGACGCTTGTCCTTAAAAGCTGAAGTACTTGAGGTAGGCGACCTTCCAGTTGTTTGGTAGCTGTTTTCCTTCCATTGTTTCTAGTTGAAAAGACTCTTTGCTCGTTGCTGCTGTGATTTTGTATGGGCCATCCCAATTTGTTCCCAGTTTTCCCTCCCGCGGATCTTTGCTTGCTTGTGTTTTTGCCTTGAGCACGTAGTCCCCGACTTTCCGTGGTAAGATCCTCGGCCCTCTCTCATGGGAGTATCTCAAACTAGGCTCTCCAACTTCGACTAGTATTACTACATCACTCCCATAGACTAACGAGTATGGCTTGCCCGTTGCCCGCGGGGTGGTATGGATTAGAGAGTATTCTTTTGATATGCCACTTTTCGAAAAATTCGACGACCATTTTTCCGGTGAATTGGGGTCCGTTGTCGCAGCTGATTTCGTTGGGGAGGCCGAAGCGGAACACAATGTTCTTTCATATGAAGATGATCACTTCCTGTTTGCGTATCTGAGCAAATGCTCCTGTTTCCACCTATTTAGAAAAATAATCAGTTAAAATCAAAAGGAAACGTACGTTCCCTCGTCCTTCGGGGAGGGGGCGACGATATCCATTCCCCACTTGATGAAAGGCCAAGGGGAGTTGCTCGCTTGCTTGTGGATTATCGGGGCATATTTATGGCATTGCTCGCATCCTTTTACGAAGTGTTCGGCCTCTTTTTTCACGGTAGGCTAGTAGTAACCTGCTCGTATGAGGCATTTGACCAGAGCTCATTTGCCAGAATGAGCCCCGCAGTGGCCCTCGTGGATTTTTTCTAGGACGCGCTGAGTTTGATTCGGGCCCACATTTTGCTAGGGGGCCGACGTACGTCCTCTTGTATAGGTCGTTCTGGATGATATTGTACCTGGCTGCTTGCATCCGAAGTTTTTTGGCGTATGTTTTATCATCTGGGAGTACGTCGTCCTGCAAGTATGTAACAATACGGTTGCGCTAGTCCTAAGTTAAATTTATAGTCTTTACCTCAATTTGATCTATCGATGAGTGGAGGAGGGTGATCACACTTCCTTCTCCGGTTATGGTTTTAGTGGCTGTCGCTAATTTGGCGAGGCCATCGGCTTCGATGTTTTGCGTCCGAGGGATTTGGTCGAGATGGCATTCATCAAACTCGGGCAATAACTTGCGGATCTCAGGCTTGGTATTTTTGCAACCTTTGTTCTTTGATCTGGAAATTCCTAGTAACTTGGTAGACGATGAGTTGAGAACCACCATAGGATGACTTGCCTCGCTCTGTACTTGAGTGTCAGCCTTAATCCTGCAATCACGGCCTCATACTCGGCCTCATTATTAGTCATGTCTGGGCACCTTATGGACTGGCGAATCATTTCGCCTATCGGGACCTCGAGCACACCCAGTCAGGACCGTGATGCATTGGAGGCGCCGTCGGTGTACAAAGTCCATAGATCTTCTGCTTGCAGAGAAGCCTGGGCGGCTTCCTTTTCAACTTCAGGCATTATTTTCGCGCTGAAGATGGCAAGGACTTGTGATTTTATCGCCGTCCGTGGTTGATATGTAATATCATGCTCGCTAAGTTCTATGGCCCACTTAACTAATCTTCCCGATAGCTCGGGCTTATGTAAGATACTCCTCAAGGAGAAAGTTGTGACTACCGAGAATGGGTGGCACTAAAAGTAGGGTCTAAGCTTTCGTGAAGTTTTAACCAAGGCCAAGGCTAATTTTTCGAGGTGGGGGTACCTCGTCTCGGCGTCGATTAGGGTTTTGTTAATGTAATAGATGGGAGATTGCATACCTTTGCTTTTTCGGACTAGGACTGCACTCACCGCTACTTCGGACACGGTGAGATAGACGAGGAGACGTTCCCCATGTTCTGCTTTGGCAAGCAACGGCGGTGAGATAGATAGGTTTTTAACTCCCTCAGGGCTTGAACTCACTCGGATGTCCATAGGAGGCTGTTGTCCTTTTTGAGCATGCCAAAGAATTTGTAACATCTATCAGATGACCGTGAGATGAATCTTGACAAGACGGCAATGCGGTCAGTCAGCTTCTGAACCTGTTTTTTGCTGGTTAATTGTTCTGGTATTCCTTCTGTGGCTTTGATTTGTTTGGGATTGACCTCGATGCCTTTTTATGATACCAGGAAACACAGGAACTTTCCTGATGTTACGTCGAACGCACACTTCTCAGGGTTTAGTTTCATCCCATATCGCCTTAGTATGTCAAAAGCCTTTTTCAGGTAGTCGATGTGATCATCTTTTCTCTTGGACTTGACCGACATATCATCTATGTAGACTTCCATGGTCTTGCCGAGCTGTTCCTTGAACATTCTTGTTACCAACCTTTGGTATGTCGCCCCCGCATTTTTCAGTTCGAAGGGCATCACCTTGTAACAATACGTTCCTTGGTGGGTGATGAAGGTGGTCTTTTCCTGGTCTTCCTCTTCCATGAGGATCTGGTTATATCCTGAGTATGCGTTTAAGAAGCTCAGCAATTCGTGCCCGGCTGTTGCGACGATGAGTTGGTCGATATGGGGTAGTTGGAATGAGTCCTTCGAGCATGCCTTGTTCAAATCTGTGAAGTCTATGCACATCCGCCATTTCCCGTTTCTATTTTTTACCATGACTACGTTGCGACCCAATGGGGATATTTTGATTCTCTGATGGAGCCATTTTTCAGCAACTCCTCAACCTCCTCGAAAACTGCATCGTTTATTGTGGTATTGAATTTTCGCCTAACTTGCCTTACCGCAGGGTAGAATGGGTCGACGTTTAAATTGTGTGTCGCGACCTCCTTTGGGATACCTGGCATGTCTGCGTGGGAAAAAGCAAACAAGTCTGCATTATTAATTAAGAAATCACGGAATTCACTTGGTTCTTACAGCTTGCAACCGGTATAGGCTTTCTTGTTGTGGTCGTTATCATCAAGTTGGATGGGTTCGAGGCCTTCCACGGTTGATCCCACGGAATCTGTTATTTCGGAGTCTTTGATGACGTCCGCTCCTTCGTCATTACTCGACCTCGACCCTGTTAATTTCTATGCCTCTTTTGCCTTGCCCTTTATTTGTTGGGTGAATGTGCAGTCCTGGGTGATGTGATAGCATTCTCGGGACGTGCATTGTTCGCTTCGTATGCTGAACACTCCCCATGGGGTGGGAAATTTGATAATTTGATACAAGCTAGAGGGGATGGCCTTCATGGTGTGTATCCAAGGCCGACCTATTATGGCGTTATATGTCATGTCCTGATCAATGATGTGGAATATGGTCTCCAGAGTGACGCCGCCGGCCATGACGGGGAGTGTGATTTCTCCAGATGTTCCTTCAACTGCATTGTTAAAACCAGTTAGTGTGATGCAACGTGGAAGTATCTTATCCTCAAGCTTCATCTGTGCAAGCATTCGAGGGTGGATAATGCACACGCCACTCCCATCGTCCACCATAATACGTCTCACGTCTGTATCTAATATGCGTGAAGTGATAACAAGAGCGTCATAGTGAGGAAAAACCAAAATGTGGGTATCTGACTTATCGAACATGATACTTTCTTCGAGTTCGTCTTATCGTTCATGAGTGATCGACCGTTTGAGTTTGTGGGTTGTGGTGAATTTTACGCTGTTGATTGATGCGTCATCGCCCCCTCCGATGATCATTTGAATGGTTCGAGTTGGAGAAGGTGGTTTTGGCGGCCCCTGGTGTTGTTCTCGTCCTCTAGCGAAGTTGTCCCTTCCTCGATCGCTCAGCAATTCTTTCCAGTGCCCTTGGTGAAACATGTTCACGACCTCCTGCCTTAGGGCGATGTAGTCCTCGGTTTATGACCTCGTTCCTGGTGGAATTCACAGAGGGCGTTCGACTTCCTCGTTCTTGGATCGAGCCTCATCTTTTGTGGCCACTTCACTTTCGGGCCAAGCTTCTCCAATGCGCAGATTATTTCTGAAGGGGAAACGCAAAAATTGTGAGCAGACAGTAAAGGGGGCATACCTATCTCGCTCCGGTGAGTCCCTATCTTTGGCCTATATGGAATTTCTTCGTGAGTCACATGATCTTCGGGGTTGGTTGTAATGTAATTTATTTTTAGGTAGGGAGGCATTTTGAAGGTTTTGGGTATGGCATACGGTGCAGCTTCATCACTGTAGGGTTGTTCTATGAACCAACTGGCATCTCTTTTTGGTAAGAGTTTTGTTGCACCAGGTATTTTTTCTAACCTTTCTTGATGCTTTTTCATTTGCTCACGAAGCATTTTATTTTCGTTTTTCATTTTTTCCATCTTCCTCAGAATGGCCGTGAGGGTATTGTCACCTGCATTATTAATATTGTGAGTGGTACCTGTTATTGGAGGGAGAGGGTCGTACTCCTCGGCCATCGTTGGTATGATGCAGGTCGCATCCTCTCTGATTGCTTTTTGGGCGGGCTTGTCAAGGATGCCGGTCAGCGTGTTTGTTAGCCAAACCTCGAGTAGTTTCTTTACTGTGGGCGGTGCCTCTTCCATTGTGGACGTGGAAGCCCCTTTATCGCGGGACATTGTGATGCTACCATGAGGGAGGGGTGAGCCACTTTGCCTAGGAGATGCATTTGGTGTTACATCTTCACCCTCCGTTTCAAAAATTGTGTTGATGGAGTTTAAGAGGTTGGCGGTAAGGTCGGCCACTGCCTTCATCCTCTCTTCTCCGTTTCCTACCATGTTAGATCTTATGTGCAGGAGAGTAGAGGGTTTTGTGTTTTTTTTTTTTTGCTAGTAATAGATCTTGAAGAAACTAAAGTTTTAACTAGGAAATCCCCACAGACGGCAAGAAACTATTTGACCAAAAAATGTAAACCTTTTGGTTAAACTAATTAATTATATGTAATGAAGGGTTGAACCTAGTTAACAATAATAACTTCAGATCTATAACTGGTCTATGTGGATGATGCTTAACAGTTGGGAGAGAATAAATGCAACGTGTATTTAATGTTTCAATGTCAATAATGGGGGGAGAATATCAAGCATTAAATAACAACAAATGGCACTAAAGTAAATAAGGAGAATGATTCACCCAATATTGAATGAGGTGGATGATTGTCACGACCCGGATTTTCCACCCTCGGGAGTCGTGATGGCGCCTACTAATGAGAGCTAGGCAAGCCAACCCTTAATTACCTTTGCCAATAACCAATTTACCTCTTTTAGCAGTTATCAGTAATATCATGAAAACAGCGGAATAAAATAAATAAGCGGAATTCTTAAATTAAAGAATCTGAACAACAATGCGGAAAATCAAAATAAACCTCTACCCAAGAACTGGTGTCACATACTCACGAACTACTAAGAGTGCTAAACACAACCATTTGAAAGAAAATATAACTGTTTGTCTCGAAATACATGAGATAACAGACTGAAATAAAAGATAGAAGAGACGTCGGGCCTGCGGACGCCTGCAGGGCTACCTCGGTGTCTCGCTGGACTGAAGGCTAACTCCCGCGCTACTGCAGCTGCTGTCTAACACCTGGATCTGTGCAAAAGATCACAGAGTGTAGTATCAGCACAACCGACCCCATGTGCTGGTAAGTGCCTAGCCTAACCCCGGCGAAGTAGTGACGAGGCTAGACCGGACTACCACATAAACCTGTGCAGTTATAAATATATATCTACAGCGGGAAAATAACAATAATAACCATTTTAAATGAGAAGGGAACATGCTTCGGGGATAGCAGATAATACGGAAATTAAAGAGAATAATAAGGAACATCAATAAATTATCTCTAACACGGATAAAGAGAATAAAAGCAGATTTCACTGTCTGTACACATCTCGTTGCAGGCGTGCAACCCGATCCCATTTCTCAATGTTTCCGTGGTAGGCGTACCACCCGCTCCCATCTCATCAATATCTTGTGGTAGGCGTACCACCCGCTCCCATTTCATTAAATTAACAGTTCTTCCAAATGAAATTTACTCCAACAAACGCAGCAATTTATACGAATTCATAAGACAACAAGTACACAATAATTATGACTCACTGAAGAAAACAAGTAATGACAAGTAGCAATTAATCATGGACTTTAAGGAGCAAATAGGCAATTTAATATTTAGTATGCTAAATGTCAAGAAGCAATTAAATCACATAAACATATGGCAATTATAGCCTAATTTCAATGCATAATGTTGCGTAAGGATACCTCGAGCCGATAATAACAAGTAACACAATAAAGAAAAATGCAAACATAAAGAAACTCCGTAATAGCGGAATAAGACAACTAATGCACTTGAACCGATAGCAACAAGAAAATCAATAAATAGAAGTAGAGGACAACGTAACTCAATTATCAGCAAAAAAAAAAACATCGGAAAAATCAAAGACAAGTGCACGGCATCACCCTTCGTGTTTTTACTCTCGTACTTACCAAAACAATCAAATAAAGTGCACGGCATGTTCCTTCGTGCATTATTAATCAAAATATGGCACGCAATGTTCCTTCGTGCAATAATAATCAAAACATGGCACGGAATGTTCCTTCGTGCATTAATAATCAAAACATGGCACGGAATGTTCCTTCGTGCAATAATAATCAAAACATGGCACGGGATGTTCCTTCGTGCATTAATAATCAAAACATGGCACGGAATGTTCCTTCGTGCATTAACATATTCTCAACACGAATCGTGCACGACATCAACCTTCGTGCTTTATTACTCTTCCTCACCCAAGCAACAATCACAACCAATGAGGCGAGGGGATAGACAAACAGTAATAGAAGTCCTGGCAAGGGAAACACAAGTAAACAGCTAAATCCCGTCAAGGGAACAACAACAACAACTCTCACATCCCGGCAAGGGAGATAATCAATATACGAATACAGCCCGGCAAGGGAATAATCACATTTCTTTCTCTTTCTTTCATTTCTTACACAATAATTACTTTATCAATCGAGCCAACGCTCGAGGAGTTCACAAATCATAATTTTTTCTCATACTCTTCACATTTTATAGAAACCATCAATCACACAAGGAAGAGTCACAACAAAATTAGAATAAGGACTCACGGTCATGCTAGACACCAGTGTATAGATACTCGTCACCATGCCTATACACCGTACTCGAAAATTAGCCATTAGCAAACAATACTCTAATCCTATTCCCTCAAGCCAAAGTTAGATCAAACACTTACCTCAACTTCCACGGCTAAATCAATCTAAAACGACCGCTTTCCCTCTCAAATTCGGCTCCAACTCAATCAAATCTATGAAATAACGACTTTATAGTATCAATAATAGCTAAACAAATCATACCCAATGCCTAAATATAGATTCCCACCCGCTTGGTCAAAACACGAGGTTCGAACCAATTCCATATCACCCATTCCCCCACGAGCCCGAATATACAATTTGTTTTCAAATTCGACCCCAAAACGAGGTCTAAATCGAAGAAAATCGAAAAGCCCTAACTCTACCCATTTCCCCCAATTTCAACCCTAGATTACATGATTTGAGCCTAGGAATATGATAAATGATGAAGGAAAACGAAGGAAACAAGTTAAACAATACTTACCCAAGAAGCTTTGGTGAAGAAGAGCTCTAGAAATCGCCTATGGGCTGTGGAGAAGATGAGTTCGTGTGTTTTTGGGTGAAAAATCCCGTCACTGTTTTGTTTTAAAACTTAAAAATCACTGGGCGAAATTTCCCTTCGCGTTCGCGGGAAGGGGATCGCGTTTGCGAAGGGTTATCAGAAAGGGCATCGCGAACGCGGACGGTAAGACGCGAACGCGTAGAAGGAAAAAGGCTGGAGTCCTGGGATTGGTCTACGCGAACGCGTGGACCCTAACGCGAACGCGGGGAAGGAAACAGCAAAGCTTCGCGATCGCGGTGGTATGCACGCGAACGCGAAGAAGAAAGTGAAGTTGCGCCCTCATGGTCAAATAACCTTACGCGTTCGCGAGGGCCCGAACGCGAACGCGAAGAAAGAAGGACACAAGGCTATGCGAACACGATGGTAAGAGTGCGATCGCGAAGAAGGAAATCCCTGGGCAAAATATCAGATTTTTCTGCAACTTTTTACTAAGTTCAAAACACACCGAACCACCTCCGAAACACTCCCGAGCCCTCGGGGCTCCTAACCAAACACACACACTAACTCAACCACATCCAACGAACTTAACCGTGCGATCAAATCGCCATAATAACATAAAAAACGAGGAATCAAACCTCAAAATTATCACTTTTTCATCAAACTTCATAAACTTTCATTTTTAGATATTTAGGTCCGAAACACGTCAAACGACGTCCGATTTTGACCAAATTTCACAGGAAGCGCTTAAACCACATATAAGACCTGTACCGGGCACCGGAACCAAAATACGGGCCCGATACCAACGCTTTCTAATCCATTTTCATTTCAAATTTCCATATAAATTTCAGAAAATAATTTCTTTTAAAAATTTATTTCTCGGGCTCGGGACCTCGGATTTCGATTCTGGGCATACGCCCGAGTCCCATATTTTTCTACGGACCCTCCAGGACCGTCAAATCACGGGTTCGGGTCCGTTTACCCAAAAAGTTGACCGAAG